AAAAGAGAATATTCTTGATTTAAATAATTATTCTCAGCAGATAAAATATTTAAATTATCTATAACCTGTCTACTTTTTATTTTTAGAACCCATAGATTTTATTAAAAAGTTGGCTGGCAGATAAATACTGATGTAAATCTATTAATATGTCTATGGGCAAGTACAATAGGTTGTCAACGGTTTTTATCAAACATTCAAACAGTGATATGGAAAAGTGTTTTTTTATACATTAAAATATTTTTTTTATTTGTTATGTTTATATGTCTTCTACATAAATATTTTTTATTTTTTATCCTACGAATCTCGTAGTACCTATTTCTCAGTATCTTACACTGAATAGTTTATTTATCTTTATGGTTGGGCTGGTATGGAAAGAGCGGCGAATCTCTTTATATGTTTACCTATGTATATACACATCAGAGCATTAATAATATAAATTAAATTTTTTAATCATTAGAGCGTGTGACAAAGAAACAAAAAAAAAAATAAATAAATAAACACAAATAAAATTAGTATAATTATAGTAACAAATTGTTAAATTGTCTAAACCATTCTAAGCCATTTAGTGCTCTGTAGAGATTAGTAAATGGATCTTACGATAGTCAACTTCTTTAAATAAAAACGCACACATTTTATATTCGAATAAATTATATTAATCCAAGTCATCGCAACAAAATATAACAAAACTACTGAATCTCTTGGATTGCCATTGTCGTGTAATTTTGGCACGGGACACCGTCGTAAATGTGGCGAAACACCAATCCGTCTCCTTTTCCCTCGTCCTCAGTTCACCGCCGCTATAGTTATAAAACTGGACGTACGATTTTTTTTTTTTTTTTAATTAAATTAATTTTTTTTTTTTTTTTTTATTTTTTAAAAAAAAAAAATGATGCAGTACAGTATATTTTGTATATATTGTACTATACTCAATATATTGGCAACCGAATTCCGCAATGTCCTTGAAGAAGATGCGTTTAATGTATCGCAACCTTTGTAGAATCAGGCCTATGAAACTCCGTACTTGGCCGAATTAGCCGATTATGTCCTTGAACACGATCTCCAGGGAGGCGTGGCATACACTATCAATAGTAATCGAAATCTGAATACTTCTGATTAGTGAACGGTAGACAAGCAAACCCCTCATCTCAGCGTACTCCGCCAACGAGACAGTAAAAGTTTACATAATCCGGGTGACTTTGAGTCTAACATCATGTTGGTGCGGTAAACGTTCCCATGTTTTTCGGAGGTTCAAACTTCAGATCATAGGTAAACAAGACCACATGCAGCCAGCTGAGTTTCGCTTCTATATTGTTCTATGGTAGAATTTCATCTCAGAGTTGCGTTTTGTCTTATCTCTTTGACAAAAACTGCTGTTTCTGTGTTCCGGGATTTAACACTAATTGTGTATTGAGCTTTAGGTGAAGTACCTATTATTATACAGGTTAGGTGTGCATGTTGTTGATGCGCCTGTTGGCTATTTAGCTACAGTAAATACAGATCGCTGCGTGCGGACCAGACGTATAAATTATCAGCAACATGACATTTCGGTTTATCGCTCTCGTTGCAAATGTTATTTTAATGCACGTGCATACATCACACTATATAGGTACATTGTTAAAATACCACTCAATTAGTCTACACAAATGCATCATCAGACGATTCTAATATTTTTAAATTCGATTTGTCTGCATGGCTCCGGCTTTGTGCCTGTAGTGAGAATATAGTAGTAACAATATTCGATATTTTGTTTACACGATACGATATGATTATAGTACGGTTAAAAACCTATTGATGATAAACTAAAAAAAAACATTAGTTTTTATAGTCACGTGTTCACTCACACCTCACGCGTGTTAGATATAATATTTCATCACTTATTTATTCAATTTAAATCTTGTTTATATCTGATAATCAAAACTATCATGACCAATTAATTTAGTAATTCATAGTTTATAAATTATAAGTTATAAAAAATATTTTAATGAATCATTATTTCACCAACGTATTTTATGATACCATCATTTAAAACTAATTTGTATGCTAAGGTACCTATTCAGTTTTTTTTTTGTATATTTCGATATTTTATAAAACCATTTAGGTACTTTAATTTCATATTGTTATTGGATTTTTACCAACATTTACGTGGTGTACAAATAAATATTTTATATTGAACTTTAGAATGATATATCAATATTGCAGAAATGTAAATCGATTTATACCGGTTATTATAATAAATATAGAGAATAATAATAATAATAATATGTGACTGTAATCCTTAAAAGCTAAATGTATTTACCAGTGGCGAATGAATAACAAATTAGATAATATAAATAATGCCTATGACGATTACAATTTTTACTTCACTACTAATAATTATTATTGTAAGAAACCCAAATATTGGTATTTGGGATACGAAATACGGTTTCACACTGTCTTTAGTCACTATAGAAGTAACTTGGAGATGGAGTTTAAGTTTTTTTAGAACAAAAAGAGAAATACTAGAGAAATATTAGCACCTTGTCTCTGACGTTGAATGTAATATGTTTTATTATATTTATATTTTATGTACAATTATTTTTCATCGGATCGAAAAATATTTAGTCGTAGAGCTTTGATCGTTATATATGTAACTAAACCAAAACTAGAAAACTTTCATTAGATACGCGTAGTTGGTAGGCCTGCCATCCGCTGTTTGAGATTCTCAAACGATAGATCCATTTTCGAGAATAGGACTCACTAGGGTGTGGTACAATGACTTCGGAGAATTCAATAGTTCATAATATCAAAAGCTAACCTCTTAATGAATCCCAAAATTTGACAGTAATATTTGTACAACGAACCCCATCATATCTTCTCGAGCTGGAGGGCAAAGTGATGGCAGGAATATGGAATCGAGGTCCCGTAAATCGTGCAAATACAGGCGTACAACAACCGAATTTACTAATATAATGAAATATTATACTAGAGATAAATATTATTATTGACTTCCAGAATCTAGGTAAAATGATTGAGTTTAAATTTGATATAAATAATTAAAACGTTAGGAACACTTATTATCATTTTCAACAAATAATAATTTCTGAAACTACAATAACCATGCTTATAAGTATAGTTTAACAATGCGAATACAAGTGGTGCATACTCTTAAAAGCCTTAGTATTAGCGAAATCTGATAATAGGACGTCATAAACTCATAAGTGCCTATATAACCGCTTAAATACATCGAATTTGTAATTATTCAAAGTGAGGTTACACGGTGACGTATAGCTGGTGAATGTCGAGAACGGAAGGGATGCCCATAGTAATTTTGGCCACAAAATCTCAGCAGTTGACTTTTAAATGTACTCTTTAATGGTACACTTCAGATCAGTTGATGGCAAATTAAAAATATCATTCATAGCAGTAAAAAACAATCGTTCGGCAAATCGGAAAAGCCAAAATTGTAATCCAGTGTTTAATAATATAGCGTATGGAATAAAATGAGCGGGAGGTACGACGGGAACATATTAACTGGATTTATACTCATTTTTAACTAATAATAGGTATTATTCGATTAAACAAAACGGTTAGTGATAGGGAATTAACGAGAAGGTCGATAGTTTTACGTATAATTAATTTCTAGAATTTGGTTCTGGATATATATTAAAGGGATTCTTTAGTTCATTGCATGTAAAGTATCGGGAGAATTTTTAAACTTCAATTGCGTCTTAAGGAACCTATTTTCTTAAGGAGAAGTACCTACTGAACTTGTTATGGTAAGCGATTTAGATTTGAACGGTCTGTGCTCGTAATTTTTCCGACATGTACTAATAGTCTTCAGACTTATTCTCGAATCGTGAAAAATAGGTTTTGGTACCATGAGTTCTGCGCTTTGGAAAAGAAACACGTAAGACTTAAATGAGTCAATAAATTAGATAAACGAGGCATTATCGGCAAGCGATTATAATGTAATATGTAGACCATAATAAGGAACCCCAAAAACAAAAAATGTTGGAAATTCTGTCCTGAACGACGGAAGCGAGAAATTTTAAAAATCGTGTAAATAACGATACGCACGGTCTGTGTTCGAAGTCTGTCCGGTTTGTCGGGCAGATGCTTCCCGGAAGTCGTCAATCGGGTTAATACAGCAGACGGTGAAGGGACGGCCAGTCGGCATATAGTGCTGTGGCGGGTGGTGGCCTGGGAGATAATGACTAAAGGGCGTTTTTACAAAATATACGGATCGCTTGTATATTTTATAGAGTGCTGAAATGGTGTTTTTGTGAAAACCTGAATTTGAAATATATTGTTTCTGCTTCAGTATGAACAACATTATTGCACAGGTCGTTATATTGAATATACCGATGTTATTACGCACGACAACAACGTCTTGACCGGCATAAATTAAAATATCTTACTAGGTCTGTTTACCTATTAGGTGCTATAATATGATATTATACAACTAAATATCCGGGGACAGGGACGAATCTTGAATTTTGTGTTTACATCGCCATACACGACGGATACGTCATCATCGTACGTACGTATACGATTAAATACATATATTTTCTGTTGTCAGCTATCTGGTTACTATAATACATATCTGCAGTGGTTATATCACAATAATAATATTGTTTCGGTGGCCGCCGACGAGCCGCGTAAAAATACGACGACGAAAACACGCGTATACCATACCGCCATCGCACGGCCGTCGTGTCACGTGGTACACGTGCGAGTATATTGTCTGACGGCGGCGAGCGTCGTGTACTCCACGTATATATTATATTATTATTATTACTATTATTATTATTATTATTATTATTATTATGCCGTCGTGGTCGTCGGAGTCTAATTCGAGACTGGTCCCCGGCGGCGTTCGGTGGTCCAGTGAGCTTAGAGACGCGTCTAAAAATAGGCCCACACTCGCGCGCGCCGCGTCGGAGGCTCACGGGTCGGGGCGGCCGACACCTCCGTCGGGGGGTCCGAGTCGCGTCGACGGTAGACGCGGACGCGCGCGCGCGCGCCGGCCGGCAATAAAAACGCACACGTAACCGTACGCCGGCAGCTGAGAGTCGTGTAGCGCGCGCGCCCAAGTAACAAACCGCGGTGTCGCGTAACGGAGTAACGCGTGGTGCGTGTGGTGCGTGTGGTGCGCGGTGTGTGGTGTGTGGTACGCGGCGCGTGGTGCGTGCGGTGAGTGCAGTGCGTATTACGCGTATTATATTGTGCGGTGCGCGCCCGGTAACGTGCGGTATACGCGTGGACGATGAACCGCGCGTAGCCGCCACTGCAGCGGTCGCCGTCGTCGGACCGGACCGCCGCCGGTGGTGACCGCTACCGTGGTTGTGCAGCGGCGCCGTCATGGAACGGAAACGGAGCGGCCGGCGGTACTACAACAAGCGGAAAAAGACGTGGACGCAACAGTGCAAGGACTACTTGCGGCAGTTCATTGCGTTCCTGTTCAGCAACATCGGCATCATTTGCCTGGTGGTCGGCTACACGATTGCAGGCGCGTTCATGTTCATCTTCATCGAGGGTGCGCCCGGCAACGCGATAGCGGTCATCGACCGGGTGGGCGCGAACCGCAGCGGCACGGCCGACAGGATCTGGGACATGGTGTGCTGCAACGCGTACTGCGAGGACGAGTGGAAGCAAGAGGTGCAGGTGCATCTCCGGTCCTTCCAGAGTCACGTCATCGAGGCCGTCCGCAACTTTAGCTACGAAGGCCCCAACAAGCAGATGACCCGATGGTCGTTTTCCGGATCGTTCCTCTACTCGCTGTCCGTCATCACCACCATAGGTAAGTGGATGGGTCGGCCCCGCGTGTCATGTTAAATCTCCGGTCGAGTGGTTTAGTGGTCCTAACTCCTTGAAGAGAACCCTCTGGTTGAGGAGGTCAGTGGCAAGGGGGGGGGGGTGTCGTATGTTCACTGGGAGATCTTCCAAAAGAATCGAAAATCCCTCCAGGAATCTGGACGATTGGGATTGTTTGAGTACCTACCTATTACTTTAACTGAGACATGTAATGGTACATCATATTATATGAAATTACTCGACAATTAATGGAAATAAAAGCAATAGTTTCGGGAGATAAAAAAACATACCAAGCTTATATCCGGTACGACCGGACCCATCCAAACTTTCTTCAGTGTTCCGATCCAATAATAACATAAAAACTCCGAGAACCGTAAACAAAATCGTCTCTATGTCTGTGGATAATTTCATTTCCCCATAATTTTTGAAATTCTCTTTTCCGTTGAATATATAGTTGTTTGACTTATTTTGTGTGCATTAATACTAATTTATCGTATATTGTTATAATATATTTGTGGTTGATTCGCTTAAAAAAATGGAATAAAACGCCCATGGTAGAATTGATTTTTCAAATAGTTTAAGTCGAGTAAATTACAGACATAGGAATATTTTCTTTCAAACTCGGTATTTGACCCTTTGCCGTTTGTGTAAACCTGACTTAACTATTGTAGCTCACTAAAGGGTGGGCGGCTTTGTGGTTTTGGGAAACTTATAAACCAGACAAACGTCGTGGTTTTACCGAGGTTCGTGAATTATTAATATAATGTAAGACGCCATGACATCCTTTTGAATACGTCAAGTCGAATTTGACTGCCTATGTCAATCTTTCGAGTAATATTATGCATACCTATGTAACTGTCTTCAAAGCGTCTATCGATTTGGTTTTGGCGGTTTTGGTATGAAACATAGCTAAAAAACCAATTATCTTTATATTTATTTTTGTACGGTATTGTGCTATAAAATATATATTTTAATTTCACCACAACGTTTTCCAAACCGATTAAGTTTTGAATTATTATTGTAGTCCGGCAGTTCCTCCTATAAACTTATATTTATCCAAGTGTACCAAATTAGTTTTTAATCGTTTTATATGTATAACTGTATGTATAGATTCATCAACGTTTTTATTTTTTTATTAACGACTTAGTATTTTTAGTCACAATATAATCTAATATCTACAGAGACAACAATCATTAATATTACCGTAAAGAGATTTTAACTACCTAAAATAGTTTTAAACGACTTGATAAAATTGGGTTTAAATAAAATAGTATTAAATTCATTTTATAGACAAATAACAATGAGTAATTATATTCTTTAGTAGGAATCGACGAAAATATACGAAAATATAACATAGGTATAATATTATTAATTCAACAATTGTGGTGCAAGACTACTAATTAAATGTCATAATAATAAACCAAGCTGCCGAATAATAATCATATACGGTATTATTCATGAAAGATATTATATTGTACGATTTAGTTTAAGTAATTAGGTAAGTAGGTAATACTGTCCTGTTATTGAGGCTTCAACTTAATAAATAATCAAAAAAAAAAAAAAACCATAAACAGATATTAAATAATATTAAAATAGAATGTAACTAAAATATGAAACTGAAAAATAAGCAGTCCCTTTATAGTTAGTTGGCGTTTACATGAAGTTCTGCCTACTGAGAAAGTCTCAAAGTTCTATTAAAACCACGTTTGTTTCAACGAATTTTGATATTTTGAACCAATAACTTATGGAAATATACGTAGAAAAGCAACAACTTTTATTTGACGTGTGTTTGACTTATAAGTAAGCGCGCCTTGTAAAAGTTATAGATATTTTTTACCACCCCACATAATAAGTGTTCTTTGTAAAATTTACGAAATAGCGTAAATACTACAACTCGATTTTTAAGAATCTAAAATATGTATTTATGCATTTGCAGTGCATCAAAATTTTTCGATGAAATTCTTGTCGAGCTAAAAATAATATGTGTACTTACATATTATATTATTCTCCTTCACTAATAACGATTACGAATTTGTGCCCCATGTCTCATCAAATACAACTTCGAATTGCCTCTCCACAACATAAATTATAATTTGTCATATATTTTAACCTAGGTATAGCCGTAGAGGTTTATAGCCGTAGAGTATTATCGTTTTTAAACTATTTTCATTTTTTAATATTTTGTCTTTAAAAACACTTTTAGACGTGGTAGTTGAACAATCGACATATTGCATCATGTTGTATGTATGTATATAACGATAATCGAAATATTATGATAACGACACTGATACTGTTTAACGACTATAACGGACTTATTTGTAGGATAATTATATTAGGTAGCCAGGTAGGTGTATGCAATCAAGTACGAATGCTTATTTGAAGTCGATATGCACTTTACATCTTATTAATGTATACTAATTTAATTCTTTTTTATGTCTTTTATTGTTTTACGACTCACAATCTTTAGTCGGCATGTAACAAAAAATTATCTGAGGTATTTTATTTATTATCATTATTATTTTGTTCTCTGGTTTGGCTGCTAACAAAACATTAAAAATCCGTGCACAATTTAATAATATTATAAGTTATAACTAAGAGTGATTGGTTAGGTATATTTTTGGCTAATACAATTCTGACTTTATTTCCTGCTATGCCATAAAATATATAATTTTTTTTCGATATCGTGGCTCGCCCAAATCGCTTGTTTTTGTTTCTATGTAATGACTCTATCTCTACCAGTGCTTGCACACATACACAAAACAAATTTCACTAAGATATCAAACAATAACAATTAGTGGAGATTTTTTAGGGGGAATTATAAAAAAATGTTTATAAATTTGTTCTGAAAATGATTTATTAATGAACATTTTGTTATTATTTAACAATTTTGTATGGTGGGAGAGGGTTTCTACGTGAATTAATTTTTCGGGAGCGGCACGCCAGTGTTCCTCCGCAATGAATATAACTGATAATTGCGTAGGCAATAGGAATTGATAAGTGCGATAGTGATAAGGTAACGTAACGATGATAAGTAGTTACGTGATACTATTAGTTATAAATGCTATAAAGGCTTGAAACAGAAAACATTTTTTTCCAATTTCGATTTTAGTTTTAGATATTGATATTTATTTTTTCCGATTTCGTAGTTGGTTATATGAAGATGGATTATTTCAATGTAGAGTGTGTAAATCCCCCACAAGTTATACTGGTATTTGAATAACACACCTCCCTTTTTTCCTGGCTACGTGCCTAATAAATATTGTAATACTTATATTTTATACAATTTAAAATTAATGGTAAATGGAAATACATTGTTATTGTATGGTTACCGATTCCTTTTATACCGAACCGTCATTGCCTCAGCTCTCAGGTTTAACGTGGGTGCGTCTAACCGAACTTGTAATGACTAATGTTATGACTTATGATTATTAAATTCCTTCGTGGTTTTATACCTATGTGTATATTATTATTAACCGGAACTATCACTACGTTTAAAATTATGCACTCGTGACACGTTGTTAATAAGTAATAACCAAAGACACTCTCATTCGATATATTTTACGGAATCAGACATCGGGTTGATATAGTAGCTGTGGCATTTAGGCGGTTCTACATTATAATGTTACAGTAATATAATATTTTACACATAGAGTTGTATCTCTCACTCCAATGAGAGCTGAACAGGATGCGAAATGTCAGTCATGCTTTAATGTTATTATTTATGAGTTATTACATACATTTCAATATTTATAGGTCATCCACCCATAAGCAATTCCCACCATTGCAGCAAATTATGATTAGTCGTTATCGACTATTCCTTCAGTGACATTATCCTCATCATATTGAGCGTCTTATATTAGGAGCGGTTGTTATTATTATAAACAATTGTTCTGTTATTACTAACGTAGTATTACACTATAATTTAGTATGCTTGGAATTCACGGCATTCAATATTAACCTAATACCTTTTCATATAGGTTCGCACTATACGTACCTATATATATATAATGTCTTGAATATCCCGTATCTTCTTGAGAACCTTCGTTGCGAATTCTCATACTTAAATTTGGGGTTTTCAACAGTAATATGTCTAGACATTTCCAGTCTAATGATACCTATACATTTTATAAACAATTCAAAAACCATTTTTTTTAATGTAAAATCGAATTTTGGTATTTTCAAAATTTGTATTTTTTGTTCGAACAATTTGGTAGAGTTTATAATTAATAATTACATCCACAAAATTAAATAATGAATCAATAAAAAAAAACCCCACGAAAAGCGATGAATAATGTTAGTAGGTAGGTAGTAATAATATAGTAGGTACCTATATATGACGTGACTATAATAAGAAAAATGTTCGTGCTGTCTCTGCATACAGTGTATTATTATTATTATTATTATTTTAAGCGCCCTGCCCAAATGTGTGCGCCGAAATATCTGTTGCGACTTGCGGTGGGCGCTATGCGAAAAATCTTTCTGCCTGCCATGAAATTGATTGGCTTCAATTTTTGTCAGGCCACGGAGTTATTCATTTTTTATCTCCTGGACCGATTTTGCATGCGAACCTTAAACACGCACGCACGCACATGGAATATATATTCAGTCTACAGTACGAACACATTTTGTTAAATTCTCGAGGGGAACGATTTAATAAATTTTCCATTACACAGTGATTTACATACCTAATAAAATAATACATAATATATGAGCGTAAGTCGATTTGAAGACGATACAACATAATTCTACACTCAAACTCGCTTTAATAATATAATATTTTATAATAGTAGGTTAACCACATATTATAATATAGTATAAATGTATATTTTATATTATAATGTAATTTATCGAGTATCACATAAGCTCAAAGCATAGGTACCTATATAGGTACACTTATAATTATAGGTAAATTACGTTCTGTAAAGTAATTTTTTTAGAGGAAAACATTGAATAAACAATTTTTTTTTTAAATTGTTATTGTGTTAT